CTGCTTTCAGGCGCAGGGCACCTGAGTGCTCTGTGACAGGGCAGATCAAGGATTTTGAAAAGGGGGTGCAGATAGTATTGTCAAGCATCACATAAAACACAATAGCTATGTTTCTCCAGTTTAAACCAGAACTTCTACTAATATACTAGGGGCCTAGGGCTACGTAATTCAGTTTAAGACTGAGGCAAAAAAAAATCTTTACTGGAATGTGCATTACTTTGCTATATCATTTATTATGTATAAAAACACAACAAATTGGGCAAAAAATAATCAAAAGCTGTTGTTTCATTAGTCCTGTAGTCATTAAAATTCAATGGGCTTCTCTCTTTCAGATTCATAGAACAAATCTTGTCTTTTTGAGCATCTTGGTAGTGCATCCAATGCTTCACTGAAAGTTTCTTACCTGAGCTGATGTACACCTGAGTTAACACTTCTAGCTAGAGTTAAAAACAGTCTGCAGGGCTGTGAAATAGGAGTTCCATTACCAGGAGCCAGCAATACACAGCAGAATGGCAGAAAAGAGATAACTTGATTAGGGGAACGTTAAGACTTGAAAAAGGAGAGAGGGTGGTTAACACCTGGGGAATGAAGCGTTTAGAAGGACTCAGCTAGATGGTGATGAGCCATGAAGTGCCATGAAGCCGTAAGCCTCAGTGCTCCCAGGATAGAAATACTGCTGCCATTGGCAAGCAGGAATTTTTAAGCTTTGGGTGTGCCAGGAATTGAAGCAGGGGGTGTAGCTGCACCACTGCCCCTGCCTGGATCTGCCCCTGCCTCTCACCTTGCTGCCGGGCTGGCATTGCATGGCAATCCTGGACTTTTTGCTTTGTCTCATAGGCCCTGCCCTATGTGGCGTTGCTGATCGTGATGCTGTTTTTCATCTACGCTGTGATTGGGATGCAGGTAGGCAATGGGGACAAGGTGGGGCTGTGGCTGGTGGGGGCTGGGGGAGGCAACATCTGAGTTTTATAGTGCTTCAGGGAAGCAGGGTAAGAGGGCGGCTCTGTGAAGGTCCCCTTCTGGGGGCCCATGGGGGAGAGCACAGTTTTATCCTCATTCCTCAAACCAAGAGAGGTCAAACTCCTCTAGCTTGTCAGGGTGACTCAGTGGCAGAGCTGGGAATAACCCCAGAGCTGTTGGCATCTGACACAGTGCCTGGTCTGCAGGGCCTCCCTGCTTTGCACACTCCCTGGCTGTGTTTTAGGATGCTGAATGGAAAGGGGCTGTCTGGATGCAGCACGCAGGAGGGTATCTCCAAGGCACGTGCCAAAGGGAATCTGGACATCCACCCCCCATCGAATCTCAATACATCCTTTGGCTTCCAGAGGAAACACTGAAGCCAAGTAACTTCACTAGCAATGAGGAGCAGAGGGGAAGCTTATGGGCTTACAGGGCAGAGAGGCTGCCTATGGCTGGGCATTTCTGTGCAGGGTGGCTTGAGCCTGACAGTGTGCTTCACAGATGCTTGGGAAAGTTGCCATGGTGGATGGGACCCAAATCAACCGGAACAACAACTTCCAGACTTTCCCCCAAGCCGTGCTGCTGCTCTTCAGGTCTGTGGGGTGGCAGTCCCCTTTTCAAGCCACTGCTCCATGTATGACCTCTCTGCTCACCCCCACCCTGCGTTCACTAATCCAGAGTAGGCCTGAGGGACGTGTACATTGTTTTTCACCCCACAATGTCCAATCAGGTCAACAGAAGCATTCAGCGAATTTGTGTTGACTTTGCTGGATTGTTTCTGTAAAAAAAAAAAAAGAAAGAAAGAAAAACTACTAAACAATTTAAGCCATTTTCTGTTCCCATCTGAGGTAGCCATTGGTTTCTAAATCTACTTCAGTTTTGTCACCAGCTAAATTAAAAAGAAAAAGCTCCAAGTGAAACGTTTCAATCTGGGCTGAACAAAACCTCTCGTATGACCCAAAACAGATTTTCTCACTCTTCAAGAAGACTCCCTTCCCCTCCCAGAGCTGTAGACACAGCCCAGGGGTCCTGGCTCAGGGGCTGCTCTAATCACTGCATGCCTCTACCCTGCCACATCTGGGGCTGGATCCCTGTGGTCCTGATTCCCAGTGGCTTCCTGTAAGCTCTGGCCCATACTTCCCTCTCAGCAAAAAGTGGAGCCCAACAGTATTGATTTCCAGCACCTGCTGTAATCATTAGTCCACACTCCCTTCCTGCAGGCTGGTCACTCCTTGCCTTGCTAGGGCAGCCGTCCCCTACACAACGCAGCTGATGCTCCCTCTTTTGGTAGGTGTGCAACAGGAGAGGCCTGGCAGGAGATCCTGCTGGCTGCCAGCTATGGGAAGCTGTGTGACCCAGAGTCTGACTACGCCCCAGGAGAAGAGTACACTTGTGGCACTGGCTTTGCCTACTTCTACTTCATCAGCTTCTACATGCTGTGTGCCTTCCTGGTATGTTTCTTTATTGTGAATCCCTATGGCCTGGCCAGGCCATTGTCACGGACCACTGAGGATAGATCTTGGAGCTTGTCCCAAAGCTTTACCTCCATTAGCTGTTCCTCAGCACACCCAGCCCATCTCAGCAGCTCCAGGCTAGATCAGAGAGTCCAGCATGTTCTGCCTTGTGAAGCCAACCTCCCATATCCTCCCCAGGGGCAGAAAGAAGGCCGGGAAGCAAAGTATCAGTGCTGCTGTCTACACCAGTGATCCTGGGATGTTGTCCCCCAACCTTGGGAGTCTGCCCCATGATAAACCAGGGCTCCAGGGAGGTGAAGAGCCCCTGCAAATGGTTCCTTGCCCTTTAGTCTTCCAGAGGACCACATGGTGCAATGCTGTCAAGCTACTGAGTCACACAACCTCAAGCTGGTGGGGTTGAGATGAATGCACTGTCGTATAGACTAAGGACAAGCATCAGATGCCATCTGGGAGAGGGCAAGGGGAGGGAACCCACACTGCTAAGACCTTTTTCCTGCAAGGTGTTAGCCAAAAACCCTGCTAGCTCCAGGAGTTTCCTCTCCCCACCTGCTCTGGACCCAGCCCTGCTAACACAATGCTCACTTCAGACTCCATCTGCTGAAATGTGAGCAATTTCCCCGAAACCAGGCTCATGTGGGGTACTGTTTTGGGGCCAAGTCTCCATCCCATCTGGCTGTCTTGAGCGGGGGCATATAAGCTATTCTCCATGCAGTGGTTCAGCTCGACAGCCTGAGAGCCACAGCAGTGCGAGTCCCTTTAGCCCACTGCTTACCTGCATGGAAGACCGTTCTCTGATCCATACGCCAGGCCTTGTCTCTGAATGTACAGAGTCCCCCAGGGAGGAGAGAAAACTGAGTTGACATCTGTCAGGCTGGTCAGAGGGGATGATTAGTCAGAAGAGACTTACCAGTACCATTTCAGACAGTAGAGAAGGTGCCATACTTCCCAGTGCCCTGCTGTCATTTTATATAAGACTTGCATATTGGATCAGCCCAGCTCCTGTCCTATCCTGTGGGCTCTGGGCGAGATGCTCCACTGACTTCAGCAGAGCTGCTCTGAACTGGCTGAGCAACTGGATCTGCCTCCGGATCCATCGGTATCATTCACACATGCTCATTTCCCATCAGATTATCAACCTCTTTGTCGCTGTCATCATGGACAACTTTGACTACCTCACGCGTGACTGGTCCATCTTGGGTCCGCATCACCTGGATGAATTCAAAAGAATCTGGGCTGAATATGACCCAGAAGCCAAGTGAGTGAAAGCTTGTCTGTGACTGTCCTTGGTCTAAGTGGCAGCAGGAAGGTGTATTATTTCCTTAAACATTTGAGTGAATATAGCAGTCACGTAAGGTGCTGGATTGACAGCCCTGGGCACTGACAGCTCCTGTTAATTCCCAGCTCAGGCATAGCTGAGGCACATGCTTCCCTCCACCCTCCCCGTGTGCCTCAGTGTTAACTTGGAAAGGGCCTTGCTCTGAATGAGATAGGACATTCATTTCTGTGGTCCTGTGAGGTGACCACTCAAAGTATCAGGTTATGATGGTGGCTTTGGCCTGTAGACTCTTGCCTATTAAGGAATGGACTAAGAAACAGCTGCTTATTTGAACACAGAGCACCAATTAGCAAAAGTCAGATTGACACTGTTGGGTCCAGACTCAGAATTCCCTGCCCAGTGCCTGCATCAGCCAGGCTCCAGGGACATGCACATTAGCCGTATCTACATGAGACGCTGACTGCTCGGGAGCTTGTTACTACTGCACAGTAGCGTGCCATGGCACGAAGCACGATGCGATGCTATGGCCCAGTAGTAACAAGCTACTGCACAGCCATCAAGAAGCCGTTCAGGGACTTTGCTGCACCGTAACTCCTGTTACTTTGCAGTCATTTAGTATTTGTGTATGCAAGTACTAAATGACTGCGCAGTAGGAACTGCACAGTCAGCATCTTGTGTAGACACGGCCACATTAGCACAGCAGCAAAACTGGGGCTTGGCCAGTAGGACACCAGCCATAAGTGTTGATTGAGAGAGGACACCAGGATGGCAGCCCCCAGGGAGCCCATGCTGGGGCAGCAGCAGCTGATGTACGGGGAGATAAGACTCTCCAGCACTTGGTACAGCCTCCCCAGCTCTGAGGCTCCTCTGCCCAGGGCACTAAAAGTCCAAGTTATGCCTCTTTGTTGGCATCATTGAATCACTCTGTGGTATGTTGCAAAACCAAACCTCATTGGCTTCCAAGTTGCTGCCCTTTCTGGGTAAGTCTCTCCTGCACTGATAAATGTGTTCTCCTGGCAGTTCTGTGCCACAAGAAAGCAGCATTCTCCCATGTCACAGATGGGGAACACGAGGCACAGGGAGGCCGAGTGACTTGCCCAGAGTCATGCAGAGGATGTGTGGCACAATGGGGAATCAGAGCCAGGCTGCCTACCCCCAACCCAGCTCTCTCTCCACCCCTCCCCATGAGTTCTGATCCCAGATCTGAGCAGACAGGTAGAGCAGAGCTGTTTTGATTCCAACAGGGGGAGAATCAAGCACCTGGATGTGGTGACCCTGCTGAGGCGCATCCAGCCACCCCTTGGCTTTGGGAAGTTCTGCCCACACCGTGTGGCTTGCAAGGTAACTACCTACTTGTCAAAGGAAAGTTTCCTTTCTATGACTCTAAGGAGCTTCCCTCCTAGGCCTCTCCTCCCACCAATACATACCAGCCTCCAGCTGCGCCTGATTCCACTGAAAGGACTACAGAAGGGCAGAATGCCAAATCAGATTTTCAGCATCATGAATAATTATTATTTAAGATCTGATTGGGAGTGTGGAGTGGAGCAGGTGTCTTTTGGGAAAAGCAAAACAAGATGGACTTAGGCTGATGTACTCCAGGCTCCTTTTGATATAATGGCCCCTTGTGCTATTGTGGGCAGTGTGGGCAGACTGGATAATCTCCCTAGGGAACTGCCTTTTTTAAGAGCCCCAGAGCTCTTGCTAAACAGAGCCCTGCTAGAGATGGGGTCAAGCTGCACAGCCCAGACCTAGGGCTCAGATGTGGGGGCTCCATTCAGTGTCCGCTGACTGGTGAGGGTTGCAGCCTCAGCTGATTGCTCTTGACACCATACCTTTGCACGTGCCATGCAGTAGAGGCAAATCCTGGTTGTCATGAGTGTAGAAGTGTAGAAGAGAGTGTTGAGGATGCTGGACTTGGAGCCCACAGGTTTCTGTGGTACACTAGCCCCCTTTCTGGGGTGCACAGCATCACTACACAGGGTCTGTCAAAGTTCCAGCAGGCCCAAGCCATCAACCAAGGGAGAGCTGCCCATGACTGCATAAAATGTTCTCGTCAAGCGAAATGTGGTTGTTGGTTTGTTGTGCAGCGCCTGGTGTGCATGAACATGCCTCTGAACAGCGATGGCACCGTTACCTTCAATGCCACCCTCTTTGCCCTGGTGAGGACGGCTCTCAAGATCAAGACAGAAGGTGAGGGACCACTGGCTCCCACTTCAACATCCCACCCTGTGCTTGCTCAGTCTCTAGAGTCTCCTTCATAAAGCTTTGCTTGCACTTTGCATTCAGAGATGACATCCCTCAGCACACATATGAGGTGCCTGCAACATTAATACCCAGCACCTCTCAAGTGCATTTCATCTGAAGCCTTTTGCTCTTTGGGCCAGACTATTTTGCTACATATCTGCCCAGGGAAGTTGTAAAATGTCCATCACTGGAGGTTTTCAAGAAAAGATTGGACAAGCATTAGTCAAAAATGACTAAGGAGTAGCTCTGCCTGAATTGCTGTGTCTAGAGCAGCAATTAGAAGCCCAGAAACACCACCTCACTCCCCCAACACGTTGCTGGAGTTCTGGCTCTCCAGTCAGGGGGTGTGATGTGTGGCGTTAAGCTTGCTGTACCTAGGTTGAAGAGCAGAATGGAGGATGTTTGGTATTTCCCATGTGTCTGGGCTTTGCTGCTGGCCATATTGGGAAGGGAAGATTTTTCCACCTTTTGGGACTACAGGTGTTGGGTCAGGGTGTTTTGCTTTCATCAGAAGCATTGGGTGTGGTGGGCTGCAACCAAGGCTGGGGATTTTGACTGAGATGTGTCAGTGCTCCTGCTGGAACTAAAACCTTCCACTCAGGATCAGACTGATGATCACCACATTTGGAATCAGGAAGGACGTTTACCTCCTGGTTATGGACTGTGAGGCTTTTGCCTTCTTCTGTAGCAGGGTCTACAGCCCTCTTCCCTGGAGCTCTCAAGAGCAGTTTAGCAACTCTTGCAACAGCAGAACACTTACCACCATTGCTCCCAATCAGCTAATATCCCCTGCCCCCCACCCCCGCTTTACCTGGAGCAGGTTAGGGTGCTATGCCTCATATTTATGCAACAGGGTTAATTGTCTAATTAGTCAATGACACAATCAATTAGTCAATTGATTGTGTAATTAGTCAGTTTAACTCAGCTGAACATGGGGCCTTTAAGCGTTGTGAGGTTATTTAGGGGTCAGTTCAGTCCTCCTTGGGCACGTCTACTTAAGATGCTTTACTGAACTTTAGATTAATCTAATGCACAGTAAAGCATCAGCATCTACACATGCCTGGGACTTACTGTGCAGTAAGTTAGGCTAGTGCACCATTTGCTAGTATCAACAAATACAGGTTACAGATTAAGGGTACAGTAGCTGACCAGAAGCATTTTGCTTCAGGTCAGTCTAGGTAGCAGGGGGCCACAGGGGGCAGGGGGAGGAAGCTGGCTGCAGCTCCACTATGAAGCTCAGGATTGCGTCCTGGCTCGGCAACCCTAGTCTGGGGTGATGCCCCATGCCCATGTAGCAGCAGTACCCTGAGCTTTCCTTCTGTTTTGCTTGCTGAGGGGATGGGGGAACTCTCTGTCCTCGCAGCACCAGGCTGGGGACAGAGAGCTTTCCCATCCCCACAGCCCTGATGCTGCTCACGCAGCACACACTCCCCGCTCCACACCAGATAAGTGACAGAGAGCTCCCCCAGCCCTTCAGCAAGCAAAGTGAAGGGAGAGCTCAGGTGCTGCTGCTGCTTGGCCATGGGGCTTTGCCCCAATCCAATGCTGCTGAGCCAGGCTGCAATCCTGAGCTCCACACAGCTGGGAGCAGTCCCCCACTCTGAGACAGCTTCCCCCAGCTCCCTGGAGCCCAGGCCTGACCTCCATGCCCCCTGCCAGCCTAGGGCTGGCACCAGAGGAGCCTGGAGCTCCCCTGGCTGCTGCAGGGGGACAGAGCAGGGCCAAAGGGCTGGAGCAGCCTTGGATTCAACTGCTCCCATTGGGAGCAAATTTGCTTCTGACATGGGTACACATACGGATGCATTCCTGGGAGCAGTTTACTTAAGGTGCATGAATTGTATGTGTAGACGCACCCCCTGAAATCCAGTCACCTCTAGGGTGGAGCAGAGCAGCTGTTCTAGAACACACAGCAACATGACACCATGGGTTAATTCCAGAAGAGAGCAATAATACTAGTTTTAATTAAAAAGGCAGGGAAAATTTAAGGATGCAGAATTTAGCTGGAAACTGTAAGGGCATCAGGGTTGAAAGTTCAGCGCTTGGATGAAGGTGTCATTGGCTCTGTAATGACCAAAAGCAGTCAGTGTCCTCTGCCCAACAGGAAGATTATCAACTACTTCCTGAGTTACCAGAGGAACTCCTTGTGTCATGTCAGTGTTCCCTAGACGTCTCATCATACAGGCCAGTTACAGACCTGTTTAGGGTGTGATATTTCATGCTCACAGCCTAAGACAGCCATCAGAATGTGTTGCATGGGTCTGCAGTCTAGATGCCCTCATCCTGATTCTCCCAGGATTGTCTCAGTGTCACCACACCAAAATAATCTCAAACACTGAGTAAAGGCAATGTCATTATGTCGTGACACTGTCCCTTCACATTTAGTTACATCAGGGGTAGGGAACTTTTTGTGGCTGCAGGCTGGAATGACCCATGCTGGGTTAAAGGTGGGTGGGTGCTAGGACTCAGCCATTTGATGCCACTTGTCCCTGCAGCAGGAAGGGGAGAATATTTGCAGCCAAGGTACTGAATGCTGCTGAAACCCCATATCAACAAGCTGATCCAGTGGTTCCATGGCCTAGATCCACCCCACAGGCCATAGGATGCTGACCCCTTTGGTACGCCATCTTACCATCTTGCATCATGGCACCAGGGCATTCAATGATGCATCCCGCTTCCAGATGCCATATCATGACAGAAATACAGAATCAGGCCCACAGACTGCAGTGAGTTTTTGGAATAACACTCTTACAATGAGTGCCAATATGGGCCTGAGAGCAAGCAGTGCCTAGACTGTGATGATGAGGGTTTTAGGGAAGCTGGGACAGATGAACCCACAATGGGCAGGTGTGGGGGGGTAAGCTTTCATGTACCATGGGTTTTTCTCTGCATCGTGACTTTCTGCTTCCAGCCATTTTCTAAGGATATTGTTTCCTTAGAGGCAGAATGAATGAGTCTGTGGTTGTTTCCTCACAGGTAACTTTGAGCAGGCCAACGAGGAGCTGAGAGCCATTATCAAGAAGATCTGGAAGCGAACTAGTATGAAGCTCCTGGACCAGGTCATTCCACCTATTGGAGGTGTGTTCTGCCTCTGGCATCTGCTACGCTTCCTGCTGTCATTGGCATATGCTTTTCCTGCTATCATCTGCCAGCACCTTGCCTGTTAGTAGCTGCTCTGTAGGACAGCTGGGCAGTGTCATCAGCAGGGTTAATGGCTTGGTTTTCTCTCCTCCAGATGATGAGGTGACAGTAGGCAAGTTTTATGCAACTTTCCTCATCCAGGAGCACTTCAGGAAGTTCATGAAGCACCAGGAGGAGTATTATGGATACAGGCCCAAAAAGAACCCCATTGAAATCCAGGTCAGTGGAACACAGGGCAGGTGGAGCCCACCCATTCATCCTGCCTGTAGGAAGCAGCCAGACTTTTCCTACTGCTCAGGGATAGGGTAGGGTTTACGTCTAAATAAGGAATGATGGGAAGGAGGCTTAAATGCATTTACCAGCGCAGGAAAGTGTCTGCACTATGGAAGGAACGCAATAGTTCATGGTGGCACAAAGAGATAGAAGTGATCAAAAGGAATTGTAGAAGCAATTCCCAGAGAGGAGGTAAATGGGGTTGTGGCTTTCCTCTCACCTTGTCATTAATGCCAGAGCTCTGTCCTGTAGCAGCCCCACAAGTGACCTTCCCATCCCTGTCTTTCCAATCAGGCTGGCCTGAGGACCATTGAAGAAGAAGCTGCCCCTGAGATCCACCGAGCAATCTCTGGAGATCTGACTGCTGAGGAGGAGCTGGAGAGAGCTATGGTGGAGGCAGCGATGGAGGAAGGGATATACAGAGTGAGCACAGCAATGTTGCTTCCCTGAGGTGTTGTCTTTGCTCACTACGCCCAGGCTACCAGCTCCAACAACCAGCGTCCCACTCAGACCACAGCCCACAGAGGGCTAGCAGTCTCAGATAGGCTGGCCAGCAGAGCCAAGGTCATATGATAATGCCTGAGATTGCAATCACAATGTTGGGGCCACTCGCTCCCCAGTGATTAGGCAAGAACTAATTGAGGCAGCCACATATGGCTAGAAGACAATTCTGGTACAAGAACAAAAGGGCATGAACTGGGTTAATTTAAGGTGAAAGTTAGAGGTTTCTAGCCATCAGAGCAGTGAGGTTCTGGAATACCCCCCCCCAACAGGCCCCAAAGCTCTAGCTGCTCTTAGGATGGAGCTATATAAGTGTATGTAAAGAAGTATATGGTGTAGAGCCTATGATAGCAGGAGATTGGACTGGCAACCCAGGAGGCCTCTTCCCAGGCTCTTCCATTCCTCTGAAATCAAAATTGTTATCTAGGAGTGTGGCAGGGGAGCAAGGGAGATGCCCAGGCAGTGGAGATAGCGCTGCCCATGGAGGAGAGTTCTGCCATATGAAACTGGCTTTGAGGAGCATGGTCTCCAGGTCTCCTCTGATCAATCCTTTTTTTCATTCCAGAGGCAAGGGGGCTTGTTTGGTCAGGTTGACAACTTCATTGAGCACCATAGCCCCCTGCAGCCCCATGTAGCCAGCCAAAGACCCCTGCAGTTCACTGAGCAGGGCAGCGAGGACCTAGACTCCCCTGTCTTCCTCGATGACTTCACCCCAGAGAGAAATACCAATGCCAGCAATGCCAACAACAACAATGCAGCATCACGGTAATGCCCTGTCTGGGTCAATGGAGGGGACAGGGAGGAAGGGAGATGCTTTCAGCACAAACAAAGTTGTTTCTCTCAGAAAGGAATCCTTTCATCCCCTAGAATAAGCCTCTGGCCTGCTGGGACTTGGGGTGCAGATGTGGGGAGAAAGAAGCGCTTCCATCTTCAGGGGAGGTAGGGGCTGGGAGGGTGCACATACACACTTGATTTTTTGCACATGTGTTGCATGCATATGTACACACTTGCATCTGAATGCCTGTGCACATGTGCTCATGTATATGTGCCTACATGCTTAGATAAGATAAATCACTTACTCTGAACTTCTGGGGCTTGCTCTCAGACTCAGACTGCAGGAAAAATGAGGTTCCCTGGCTTCAGCTTACAGGTTGAGACCTGCTTTCTGAGGGCTATGCAGTATCATTTCCCCTAGACTATGCCTCCCGCAGGATATAAAGGGTGAGTGCCCCTTAGAAAGCACCATGGCCTTGGGATCGCTGTTGCACACAGCCATTGGGTAGTGGGTGAGAGGTACAGACTGCTACTACTAGCAGGAGGCAGACTAACCCAGCAGCTGGCAGCTTGCTGCCAGGTGGCTTTGGGTCTTCATCTAGTGATTTCAAGGGAGTGAGACCAGTTTACCCCAGATGAAGATCTGGGCCCACATGGCTTGTGGAACGCTTTGAAGTCTAGAACAAAGCAGAGGTTGATGGCAAGCAGCAGAAACCCTCAAAACCCAAGGGACCTCAGTGTGCTCACTCCCAATTTTGTTCTATGTAGAACTAAATGGCCAGAAAAGTAGATGGTGCTCCCAAAAGAACAGCTTATCACAAGACAGTGTGTTCACCCCACTTTTATTCAACATCTCCATTAATGATCAGTCACTTCCTGCCGAATGTCAGCCTTTCATCTATGGTGATGATCTGCATTACCACACAGCAAAATAATTTTGAGGACACAGAGAAGATCCTGGAGAGGGCACTAAACAACAAGATGTCAGATTACTATCTAAACAGTTATCTCAAACCTAACCCTAGCAAAACCCAAATCTGTGCTCTCCATCTGAGAAGCTGGGATGTGGAACAACATCTGAATGTCACCTGGGCTGACCAAAGTCTCAAACATCAGAAACACCTGGTCTACTTAGGGGTAACACTGGACCATACACTTAGTTACAAATTAAATACCAAAGCCAAGGTCAACGAAACAACATTCTGCATAAGCTCGCAAATTCCAAGTGGGGAGCATATCCATTCACCCTATGCACTGCTGCCCTGGCACTTTGTTTCTCTGGGGCCCAATGCCTGCACCACCTGGGGACACTCAAGTCACAGTAAACATATTGACACTGCCCTAAATGATACATGCAGAATAATGGCAGGCTGCCTAAAACCCACCCCTGTTCCCTGCCCGTGCGCACTATCTGGCATAGTGCCCCTTACATCAGGAGGAAAGTAGCAATCGACATTGACTGGCAGGTACAAGAATCATAGAATCATAGAAGTCGGGTTGGAAGGGACCTTGTAGATCTTCAAGCCCAACCCCCTGCCTGAGCAGGAGAAAAACTGGGCTCAAATGACTCCAGCCAGGTAGGCATCAAGCCTCTTCTTAAAGACCCCCAGGGTAGGAGCCAGCACCACTTCCCTTGGAAGTTGGTTCCAGATCCTAGCCGCCCTGACCGTGAAGTAGTTCTTGCGGATGTCTAATCTAAACCTACTCTCCAATAATTTATGGCCATTATTCCTTGCTTTGCCAGGGGACACTAGGGGAAACAAGGTCTCTCCCAAACCGTTCTGGTCCCCCTAGTGAGTTAGACGGTCACCAGGTCCCCCCTCAGCCTTCGCTTGTGAAGGCTGAACAGGTTCAGGTCCCACAGTCTTTCATTGTAGGGTCTGCCCTGTTGTCCCCGGATCATGTGGGCGGCCCTCCTCTGGACCCTCTCCATGTTGTCCACATCCCTCCTGAAGTGGGGCGCACAGAACTGGACACAGTACTCCAGCTGTGGCCTGACCAG